CCTTAAACTATGTTTTGGCTCAAAACTACCCTTCCCGTCAAACTATTGAGTCAAAAGTGCCCTTCTTATCAATAGAAGTTGTTAAATGTCATGTGGATGCCACATTGCATGTCAATAAAGTTCCACTGCCACATACACTAAATCCCTAAATCAGCATCTGCGAAACCAACTAGATCAAAAGTATCACCTGCTGGATAGAAGAGAACCAGGTCCCCTGTTTTCTTCATGTATCTAAGAATATATTTTGCAACCTTCAAGTGTGAATCACGAGGACATGCTTGAAACTTGGCACACATTCCAACACTATAAACAAAATCAGGTCTGCTAGTAGTCAGATAAAGCAAGGATCCAATGATTCCTCTGTACATTGTTTAATTCACAAGAGGATCAGATTCCTCTACTACAAGCTTGGAATTTGTTCCCATAGGAGTATCAATAGGTTTTGAGTCAAACATATTGAAATTCTTCAGTAGCTCCTTAATGTACTTCTCCTTACATATTGAAATCCCATTTGATGATTGCTTGATTTGTAGACCAAGAAAAAATGTCAGTTCGCCCATCATGCTCATTTCAAATTCCTTTCCCATTAGTGATGAGAATTCTTCACACAAATGTTCTGAGGTGGCTCCAAAAATTATATCATCCACATAAACTTGAATAATAAGCAATTCTTGTTCTCTTTTTAATAAGAACAATGTATTGTCTATTTTTCCTCTTTTGAACCCATTCTTTAGCAAAAACTTTGACAACCTCTCATACCATGCTCTAGGAGCTTGCTTCAGACCATACAGAGCCTTATTCAATTCGAACACATGATCTGGTAGTTCAGCATCTTCAAAACCAGGAGGTTGTTTGACAAATACTTCCTCTTTCAGATCTCCATTCAGAAATGCACTTTTGACATCCATTTGATACATCTTGAATCCCATGAATGCAGAAGCTATTAAAATTCTAGTAGCCTCGATCCTGGAAACAGGTGCAAAAGTCTCATCATAATCTATTCCTTCTTCTTGATTGTATCCTTGAACCACCAACCTGGATTTATTTCTAGTGATCACTCCATTTTCATCTAGCTTGTTTCTGAACACCCATCTGGTTCCTATTACTGTTCTGCCTGTAGGTAGAGGAACCAGGTACCATACCTTGCTTCTTCAAATTGATGAAGTTCTTCTTGCATAGAGTTGATCCAATCTGCATCACTTAATGCTTCTTTCATATTCTTGGACTCAATAGATGATATGAATGCTGAAAATACAACTAGATTTCTTGTTTTTGATCTAGTATGAATTCCAGAGTTCAAGGGAGAGATAAGATTATCAAGAGGATGTGATGAACTATGTTTCCATCCTGGTCTTGGAGCAGACTGGTTGAGCTGATCAGCATGTTCTTCTTCATCCAGAGTGTCATCATTTTCTGGGGAGTTTAAAGTGCTCTGACTGGAATTCAGAGTAGTACCAGGTACATCATCACACTTTTTCACTTCATCAGCCTCTTCAGGTATACTATGATTTTGATCATCAAAGTCATTTTTCAATTGTTGTTCTGCATCAGCTTAACTTCCTTCAATTTTCTGTGATTTGAATAGTTTGATCACATCATCTTCATCATTTAATCCAGTATTTTTGAAGCTTCCATCTTCATCAAATACAACATGAATGCTTTCTTCAATGCATTGAGTTCTTTTGTTGAATATTCTGTAAGCCTTACTCGATGAAGAATATCCAACAAACACTCCTTCATCACTCCTAGGATCAATTTTCCCAGATCATCCTTTCCATTGTTTATCACAAAACACCTACATCCAAATGCTCTAAGATAGCTTAGCATAGGCTTTCTGTTGTTGAGCAGCTCATAGGAAGTCTTATTCGAAACAGCTCTTATCAGACATCTGTTGGTAACATGACATGTTGTGTTGACAGTTTCAGCCCAGAAATTTTGAGGAAGATTTGATTCAATAATTATAGTTCTGGCAATGTTCACCAAGGTTCTGTTTTTTCTTTCCACTACTCCATTTTGTTGAGGAGTTCTTGAAGCAGAAAAATTATGAGTCGTACCATTCTCCATGCAGAATTTATCTAGTTTTGAGTTCTCAAACTCAATACCATGATCAGATCGAATGCTGCAAATGACTTGATTCAATTTAGTTTGAATCATTTTGAAAAACACCACTAATTCTTCAAGTGTTTCTGCCTTTGATTTCAAGAATCTTGTCCATGTATATCTCGAGTAATCATCAACTATCACCAGAATGTATTTCTTGCCATTTCTGCTTTGAACCTTCAAAGGTCCACACAATTCCATGTGTAGCAGCTCTAGTGTTCTTGATGAGGTTACTTGTTTTTTGGGATTAAAGGATGATCTGATTTGTTTTCCTTTAACGCAACCTTCACAAATTTTATTTTCAACAAACTTCAGCTTTGGCAGACCTCGGACCAGTCCTTAGAAATCAGTTTGTTCAATAAAGATGAGCTCACATGCCTTAGCCTATGATGCCAAAGATCAGCATTCTAATTTTTAGCACTAAGACATGGCAGGTCATCTCCATGAGACGTTTCTAAGTTGGCCACATACATGTTTTTACTTCTGAAAGCAGTGAGAATTACCTTCTTTCTAGTTAGACTTACCACAGTGCACTTCTCAGAAGTAAACCTGACTTCATTTCCTTTGTCACAAATTTGAGACACGCTCAAATGATTGTACTTCAACCCATATGCATGATACACATTGTCAATTGAATCTTCAAGAGACTTTCCCACTTTGCCAACTCCCAAAATGTACCCCTTCTTTCCATCACCAAAAGAGACGCCTCCTCCCTAAAGTGTCTTGAGTGAGAGGAAATTTTTGATGTCACCAGTCATATGTTTAGAGCATCCACTGTCCATATACCAACATTGACTGCTGCTCCTCTCACTCACCTGCACCAAGAATCACTTGTTTAGCTTGGGAACCCATTTCAATTTGAGTTCCCAGAAGACAGACAGAGGAGTGATCAGATTGTATTTAGTCCAATAGGGCAGTTTTTGAAACTTTCTAACAAATGACATCAGAGCAGTGATAGATCTTTTCTTTGAAAATCTATCAGTTGAAACGAGTTTTGGAGGACCAGGTCTCTCTTTTGAAAATTTTTGCCTTTCTGCATAATTTGAGAGTCTTTCCTGGGAATTTCTCCATCCAGGACACTCTCCCTTTAAGTGCTCATTTTTACCACAATGAAGACAAAGCAGATTGTCAGACACAAAAACATACTTACTATGAGGATTAAAGGGAGGAGTAATATTCAAACTTCCTAGTCCTTTCTTATTGAAATTACTCTGATTTGTTGCAGTTGACAACAACTTAGAGGATTTTGTCCACTTAAGAGATTTTTCAAGCTCTTCCTTAAGTTTGACAATATCCTTTTCTAATCTGTTGCTTTTCTCCAAAGACAATACCAGATTTTTCTCAGAGATTTTCAATTTTTCTTCAGTTTCAACTCGTAAATCATTTGACATTCCATTTAGCTTTTCAGCTTCTTCAGTTATCTGATTCAACTGTTTTTTAAGATCAGTGTTATCAGACTCTAGAGACACCATTTTTGACATTCTCTCCTCCAGTTTAACTTTTTTTTCAGTTAAACTATCAAGTTCAGCATTCATGATGTCTCTTTCAGAGGTTAACTAAATTACAGAATCAATCATGACTTTTGCCATTGTTCTCAATTTTTTAAGAGAATAATTATTCAGATCATTTTTCATATCAAGAAGAGTTACCTTGTCATCCTCTTCTTCATCTTCTGTATGAGCCATGAGAGCAAACATTTCATTGAAAATGGTTTCCTCTTCATGTATAGCCACCATAGACACATCATTTGGATCATCAAGATCTTCTGAATCACTTGAAGAATCACCCCACGCAGCAAGATCCTTTTTGACCACATAGTCAGCATCAGCTTTTCGATCACTCTTATCGAGTACCAGGTCCTCTCTCTTCTCTTTGTCACTTCTTGGTTTTTGATGTTCCTTGTTTTCATTCTTGAGCAGAGGACACTCTCTAATAAAGTGTCCAGTTTTTCCACACTTGTAGCATGTATCACTTTGAGTAGCATTTTGAGGACCATTTGTTCTTTTTTTAAAACCTTTGTTCTTTCTCACAATTTTTTGAAATCTGTTGATGAGATATGCCATATCATCATCACTGGAATCTTCATTTGATTTGTACTTCATCATCAATGACTTATCCTTTTTGACTTCCTTCTTTGATGAATCGTGATTTCGATTCATCTCATGTGTCTTCAGTTTCCAATGAGAGCATCCATAGTCAGCACCTTCAAATCTTTGGCTTCTGTGATGGCATCAACCTTTCTTTCCCAGGATTTTGAAAGAATTCGAAGTACTTTTCTGACTTGTTTGCTCATGCTTATAGGTTCACCAAGACTTCGCAGCTCATTTGTAATGGAAGACAATTTTGTGAACATGTCATGAATTGTTTCTCCTTTCTTCATTTTGAAGTTTTCATACCGTGAGGTAAGCATATCAATCTTTGATTCTTTGACTTGTTCAGTTCCTTCATGAGCAGTCTTTGAACAGTCCCAAATTTCCTTAGCAGACTCACAAGCTGAAACCCGATTGAACTCATCAGGTCCTATCCCATAGACAAGAAGAGTTTTTGCCTTGTAGCCCTTTTCTATCTTTTTTTTGTCAGCTTCATCGTATTTCTATCTAGGCTTTGGAACAAGACTGATTTTCTGTCCATCCTTTTCTTCTATCATTGGAATAAACGGTCCATCCAGTACGATATCTCATAACTCACTATCTTCAGCCATGAGAAAATCATGCATTCTAACTTTCCACCAACTGTAGAAATGTCCATTGAAACGGGGAGGTCATGTTGAAGACTGACCTTCATCTAGATTAAGTGGAGCAACCATTCTAAAACAGATATCACTTCCTTGGTGTTAACCAAATAGAGAGTGTCTGCTCTGATACCACTTGATAGAATATATGTCTTCACTTAACAGAACAATGGACCAGGTCCCTTACTACACTAATGAGTATAAACAGAAAGTTAAATAAAGTTTAAATCAACACAACAATTTTACATGGAAACCTCCTTGCTTAAGAGAGTAAAACCACGACCTGTCTCAGTCTCACAGGATTTACAATCATTTTCACTAATCTTCAAAAGAAAAAGTAAAACGCGATTACAACAAATGTGAGAAGAAGTTTTTAATCTCACGTTCAAGCAATAGACTCTATTGCTTAACAAGCCTAAGTAGAAATCAATCTACCCACTAAGCTATCCCACTTGGACAACTTAGAATTTTAACACTACCCACTGATTCCTTTATAGTTTCAGGAATAGTTTACAATGTAAGAACAAGAGAATATATTCTTAAACAGCTACACTAAATGCTCCAGAGATTACTGTTGTTCTTGGAATAATTCTGCCTTTGTTTGCTAGTAGCTTTTGCAAGTGTTCTTGAAAAATTCTTTGTCAAGTTGCAAAAATCACCAATGATGTTTAGGAAAGTGTCTTTTATATGGACAAGTCACTTTCCTTAAACTCTTTGTCATTGGTTGGAGAAGTCTCACTTTCTGACGTCATTGGGAAGAATACATCTACTTTCTGTACCGTCTCCAACTGGCAGTCAACTGCCTTGTCACATTGAGAGCATGGTACCTTTACAAGGTCCCTGGGTTTTTTTCATCTTCAACACTCAAGTAAGAAACTTGGTATCTTACAAGATCCCTAAGTTTGTCAAATTATCAAAACTGCAAATAACAAAAGGTAAACTTTCATGAGTAGTTGATGGTTCCTTTTTTTGGGTTGTGGGGTTGATTGCTACCTTTATATGATAATTACACCTGTTTGATTTCTTTCAGCTCCTGAAAGGTCAACTTTTTGTTGAAGGATATGCTGAGAAGCAGTTCTATAGTTTTCTTGACTACATCTCTAATGGATTTGAGCTTAGCTTTATGGTTACTGTGGATTTTATTGGTAAAAGCACTATAAAATATTATCATGTTATTTTAATTGGCCTGGTTTAAGACTATTTTACAGATGCATTTGAACATGCAATGCCTAGCTTCTAATGGAGATCCTCGCAGTCCTGATTCCTTGCACTATATTGATCCTTCTGGCCGTTTGAATGCTTACCAGAGGGTTAGGGGATATCACCTTCTTCTTTACTGACTACATGTTCTTTACATTCCTATATTTCATTGCCTTATAACAGGACAACTGATTGTTATTTATATGCCAGCGAAAACAGAAGCCGAAATTGAAGAATTTCATGAGCTGTGGGTCATAAAAAAATAGAATATTGTGACCTATGATTTTTGTAATCTAGTGTGTGCTCTTGGTTTCCTTGCAATTTATGATGTTTTAGGCTCTAGTAACGAATTTGTCCAATAGGTACACGCAAAAAACAATTTAATCTTAGTGATTGAGCTTTGTTGGTTTCGAATATGAAATTAGACACATTTAAGTTTGATATATAACTTGAAGTTTCTGATCAATTACAGATCCTAGGTTCTGGCTATGCAAACAACAATAACTACTCTTCAATCTTAAACAAAGTTGGGTTCGGCTGGATGAATCCCAACTTCTTCTTTGAAGCCGTTTCATTTGCTAACTATCAGAAATTAATGTCATGCAAGAAAAGTTATGCTGATAGTTGGTCATGTATTCGTTACAGGCTATTATGGAGGTTGGAGATGTCATACAATTCTATGATTCTGACAAGTGCTTTCCTACTTGTGGCTTTGGTGGCAGGGCATATGGTGGAACAGTATCTTACTGTTTTAACTTAAGCTGGAAGCACGGTGCTGTTGAGGTATTTGGTAATCAGCTCTGCTACTTAGAGATGTTTATATGTTATATTTCTCGAGTTCTTTTTATCTGCACTTGGGCATAAAAAGACTTGTTTAAAAATATTTTACATTCTAGAAATTAAAAAGCCATTAATTGTTTGTTCAATTCCATCCTTACTACAAATTTAAGAAGGCACATTGTCATTAATCACCCTTAAGGAATATGTTAGGGTAATCTAGTCAAATACTCATTATTGTTAATGTTATCTACTGGATTTCTTAATTGGTGTCTGCCAAATCTTTAAGCTAGCGTTTGG